CATTTTAAGCTTACAAGTCATGTGTTAGAAATAATCTTTACACCCATAAATATTCTTCGTTAACTCAACGATTTCGGAAAAGATTTAAACGGATTCCAAACACATTTGGTGAATTCTAAAACCGCAAGCCCCCGCAGCCGCAGGTCACGTCTATGCAAATGAAGTTAAATTAGAAACGCTTAATAACAACTGTGCGCCGCCTCCCGTGTAAAGAGGTGCAATTACACCAATCAAATTGAAATTTTAGAGCACTAATTGCGAGCGACATGTTTTATGGCTCATCCCGTCCCGCCCGGTGACGTCTGACTCGATGCGATGCCTCATGCTGCGGAGTTTTATTAAACTAATTGCTTTTATTTTGAGCGGACACTAACCGCAAATCACGGAATAAATGCTAGGGTGGGATGTTTACGTAATCTAACTTGATTTTAATTAGCAATGTCCTTAAACCAACCGCAAATCTTAATTCCCGTTTTACTAAAAACACTATAAAATAAAATTGCTACGCATAGCTTTAACTATTCACTGAAATAATAATAAATAAACTAACTAAGGTAATCAACTAAACTTCGTGACTGTACACCGTTAAAATAATCAATAAATTATTAATACTTAATCAAATCAATGATAAATTATAGAAGGTACTAATAAATGATTACCAATCAGTAATAGGTTTTTATTTGAAAATTAGTGGACGTTTGTTAAACGAGCACTCATTAGGGCCGCGTCGAGCGCGGTGACAGGCCGTGAATCATGGCTCGCATCAATACGCTGGCTGCCCGACACCTGTGACCGGCGCGCTTAATCATCGTGCTGGACGGAATACTATTGCTATTCTATTTATTTTATTGCAATTGACGGACATTAAAATAAAGCCTGATAAGGAAAATACCTGATAAGATTAGGAAATCATATGCGTCCAGCCAGCTTATGTAAATCGGATAGAATGTTTGTTATCAAGCTGAATGGAATACTACTAATTTAGCTAATCTAATACTCTACTAAATGCACTTGTTGTATTGAAATTGGCAGATATCAAAATACATATACGAATCTCATCCGTTCCCGATGGAATATATGTAATGGAATAGTTAAATGGATATCGTATTCGATAATACGATATCCAAATGAAACATTGGTGTGGATTCTTGTTGTGATTTTTTTTCTGTGTACGAAATCAAACCTCAATTGATTTGAAAGAACAGGATAAAGTATTTTAGTAAGTTACATTGTAGTTTGAAACTATTAGAAACAGTCCTTGAAATATATTCCCACCAAAACATTTTCATGTAAAAATGCTGTCAAGACGAGACCATATCGTGAAAAAGTTGTCAGATCTCATGTAGAACCAAGTTTCTTCTACTCACCCTAAAAAAAAACTTTATGTTGTACAGTCGCGGAATGAAAAGGTTCGTCACCTTAGTGTCGGTTTTCGCTTGCACTAGGTTACTGTAAGAGTCAAACCTGCCAACATAACAGTGCAAGAAACAGTGCTGCTAACATTTAAATAAATATGACGTTTTGCTAACGAATAAGGTTTTGCTTGTTTATTTGGTGCAGTCCTGTTGTCCCCCCTGCTTGGCCCCCCTAGGGGAGCCAACAGGATTTCGAAATCCTGTTGTCCCCCCTGGCTAGGGGAGACAACAGGATTAGATTTATAATCAATGATTTGAGGACTGTTGTCCCCCCTGGCAAAAATTATTTAAAAGCCATATTTATAACATTTAAGAAGGACTGGACTACTTGAATGAATGCCAAATTGCCAAACTGAATACCTAAACGTATGTCAAATAATATAATTAACATTTGGATAACGAAAAAAATATAAGTTCTTGGTACCGATACCGGTACTATTTCAGACTATTTCAAAATCTGCTTTACTTGCTTTTGACAGAATCGTTATGAATTATCCCTACTAAATCCCAACTAATATTATAAATGCGAAAGTAACTTTATCTTTTTTTATAAATAAATATAAACATATAGCGGACAAAGCCGTAGGCAAAAGCTAAGTACCTCTATTATGCTATTCTCATGTATAAAAAATATTATCTAGGTACTGTAAAGTTTATCAAGTGTAAGTAAAAATCCGTTTAGTAGTTTTTACGTGAAAGAGTATCAAACATCCATACTCACAAAGTTCCGCATTTACTTACAATATTAGTAGGTAGGATGCTAAAACTGAATAATTTTAAATCTATACTTAATATTATAAAGCTGAAGAGTTTGTTTGTTTACTTGAACGCGCTAATCTCAGGAACTATCGGTACGATTTGAAAAATTCTTTCAGTGTTAGATAGCCCATTTATTGAGGAAGGCTATAGGCTATATACTATCACGCTACGAGTAATAGGTGCAGAGCAACTAATAACAATGTCAGTTACCAACTGGTTGGTTACTTCATTCAATGATTAAACGTTTTATATTTTTATATTTTCAAAATAAAAAATATTTAAAAATATCCCTAGTATATTCCTAGTTATATGAGTATTAATTTACATACTATTCTCGTATTGAAAGCGGTTAATAACTTCATAAAATAACATCAAAGACTTGAAAAATCACCTACCGAAAATTCAAAATTTCCAAAGCTTGGTACATGCAAAGCGGCACCCAAAGGCACAAGAATTGTATGTCATCTTGATCGCAGTGTATGGTGCAATAGCTCATGTGAGTACCAGCCCTTCAGTTCCATTCAGTTTTAAAAAAGTCCACTTTAAGTGTTTTCTTCCATACAAAAAAAATTAAAATATTTTTTTTCTCACACATGGAGCTACTCATACCCTTCATACTGTATTAGTAAAACAAAGGGAGGTATACTAAACACAATACAATTTTTTTTTAATAATTTCTGACATTAAGTTTCTATGGTATGGGAGCTTCATTTTCAGACCACTGTGCGACGCCCACTCAGCCTCTCGACCGTCACCGGTGTCAGACGCGGCCCTCCCACGTTGGCGCTAACTAGCGATATATTTTATATTATACCTATGAAATACAGTCCGCCTTTAATTTATATATCATAAGTCTAGTCAGACCCTAACAAGGTACTTCTTGCGACCTTCACCAGACCGTCGCACTATGTGACGAAAGGCCGATCTAGATGGACAATATTATTTGACAATATTAATTAGCTTTAAAGGCGGTATCTATTCATGATTTGACTATATATAGCAAAAACAGTCATAATTGCATTCAGTTTTGGTACATTTAACGCTATAATACATAAACCAGTATACGTTGATACACGGTTATAAAGAATTACTACCTGATAGGAGGTCAGCTTAAAATGGACATGTTTCTAAGAAGAAAAACAAAGCTGAATTTTTTATGGCAATTGAAAATAAATAAAAAGGATGAGTGAATAAAAATATAGAATGCCATGCCAGCCACTTTCCAGCCAATTTTTACAACAAATTCGGGAAATGTTCATTTCAATATTTCATAACTCCTCCGTTACCTCGTAAGTTTCGTATTTTATCGAAATATTCATTCCGCTTATTTTTTTCATTTTTGGGATATTTTATTCATTGTTCGTAGAACTCCCTTCGGGATATAAATATTACGTATTCTGAAAAAAAAAAGAACGAAAAAAAAATTTTGGCATCAGCTTTACTAAAAAAATTGACAAGGTTCCGCACCAGTCTGCACTTTCTAATTTACTTTGATCAATAGAATATGAATGAGACTACAACATATATAAGTTGCAGCCATGGTACAACAAAGTACATGTAGTTTCTGCTCCAACAAACACAAAGTTCGCATTAAAAATGTAATATCCATCACATTCGACAGCTATGTTTTCGGCAACTGTAAAGTTATTTGCAATGTGAATGAATAAAAATGGTAGTTCTTACCATCAACCTCACGATCCATCACTAACTTTAGCACAATTAATTTTATAAACACTTTAAAATAGCGACAGACCAAATGCAGAAAAGTGAATGATTTCTTCATGAATTCCACCCGTAATGACACTTCAAAAATATTTATTAATTTATTGGAGGGTACTTGCACAAAATTATCACCAGAATTGTGACCTCCAGATTGTCGGCTATCGATCTTGCTAGTATTATTGGAGATTTGAGTTAACCCTTTTTGTCCATCTAGATCGGCCTTTCGTCACATAGTGCGTCGGTCCACCTAATGGGAGGCCTAACCACTACTTCTACTTTAGCACTTTTCTGCCTCAGCGGCCATCAGCTCTACGAGCTATGTAACCCGTCCACTGCCAAATTGCCACTTGATTTTAGCAATTCTGCGGGTTATTATGGTCTTCATAAGCACGCACTAGGTACGCCGCACACGCGCCCACCACTCGTGCTTTGCGCCCAATTGGAGATATGCTCGCTCACGATTATGATACCGACCTATTTGCTGACAGTTTTGGGCAGTTGTGTTGCAAAGCCTTTTTGTTTATTAATGACATTTGTACTTAATTAACATTGTGTGACTTGTTTTAATGTTTATTTCTGACTTTGCAATGATTTGTGTTGACTTGACTGTTTTACATTATGTTCTTCCTTGGACGCCTGTTTCTGGCGCTATGACTTGTATTTAATGACCATATTGATGATAATGTATTTTATTTTTGTATTTGATTTGACATGGTAATCCTAATTTATGACATGCAACTAAATGTAAAATTAATTATATTATATGTATGTGTTTTGGACCTGTCTATAAACATACATTTTCTGATAATAAATAAATAAATAAATAAATAAATAAATAAATAAGAAGGCTCAAGGTCACCCAAAGGGCAATGGAGCGTGCTATGCTCGGAGTTTCCTTGCGTGATCGTATAAGAAATGAGGAGATTCGCAGAAAAACCAAAGTGACCGAAAAATAGGTAGGTATATTATGACTGTAAAATAATTAAAACTTGGTCGGTAAACGAATGTATCTGTCGTTTATCAAGTCTTTTAACCTTGACTGATATCATGGCTTATAATTGTTTGTCTTGCGTTGTCGTAACTATGTAAAGATAAAGAGACATTAATGACTCAGGCATTTGCAATCGCTTGTTTCGCATAAAGGGAAATAAAGTGAATCAGTGCGGTTGTTTGCGAAGTGTGTAATTAGCGAATTAATTATGTTAACATTAATTATTCTGTCAGTAGTTCTCGCAGCTGGGTACTTTTACTGTGTGAAAAACTATGACTACTGGAAAAAACTCGGTGTGCCATACGTACAGCCGGTGGTGATTTTCGGTTGTATGATAGATCCATTCTTGCGGAGAAGGAGTATGACAGAGTTGTTTGTGGAATGGTACAAGAAGTACTCAGACGAGAAGGTCGTTGGATTATTCGAGGGGACCAAGCCTTGTCTTCTGATCAGAGATCCGGAGTTGGTGAAACGTGTGCTCATTACAGACTTTGTGAGTTTCCATGAACGTGGCATTCACCCTGATCAAGAAGGCATCGAACCCCTTCTGAGTAATTTGTTTTTCGTTGAAGGAGATCTGTGGCGGTCTCTGCGACAGCGTATGACGCCAGCTTTCACCAGTGGCAAACTAAAAGCCATGTTTCCATTGATCGTTGAACGTGCGGAGAAACTACAAACTCGTGCGTTGAATGCTGCCCGCCAGGGTAAAGTAATCGATGCTCGTGATCTGATGGCGAGGTACACCACTGACTTCATCGGAGCATGTGGTTTTGGACTCGATGCCGACTCGCTCAACGAAGAAAACTCCGATTTCCGAGAACTTGGCAAGGAAATCTTCCGATTCGATTTCATGCACGGTGTCAAATCAGTGCTCAAAGATTTGTTCCCTAGATTTTTTAGGAGCGTAAAGTTTTTTGGAAATATCGAAAATCAGGTGCTGTCACTTGTGTATAATATTCAGAAGCAAAGGAATTTCCAGCCGTCGAATAGACATGACTTCATAGATTTGTTAATGGAATGCCAAAGGAAAGGGCCTATCGAGATTGAGTCGCTGGTAAAAGTGAAGGCCGATGGTACTCCATCGAGAACCATAATTGAAATAACGGATCAGTTATTAGCTGCTCAGGTGTTCATCTTCTTCGCTGCAGGATTTGAGACTTCCTCGTCGTCTACTAGCTATACATTGCACCAGCTTGCTTATAATCCGGAAGTTTTGAAGAAAGTGCAAAAAGAAATTGATAAGGTGTTGAGTAAGCATGATAACAAGTTATCTTTTGAAGCTGTAAAAGAGATGACGTATTTGGAATGGACGTTCAGAGAAGGAATGAGAATGTTTCCGTCCCTCGGGTATTTATCAAGAATGTGCACCCAGAAGTATACGTTCCCTGAGCTGGATCTGACAATTGACAAGGAGGTTGGAATCATAATTCCTCTTCAAGCTTTACACATGGACCCACAGTACTTCGAGAACCCAGAAGAGTTCAGGCCTGAACGATTTGATCCTGAAAATGAGAAGGAATCAAATAAATATGTTTATTTGCCGTTTGGGCAAGGCCCAAGAGCTTGTATAGGTAAGATTTTTTTCTTATAGATTAACCGTGATTGTTTACTGAAATGTACATTAAAACGCTTTTGTAGCTGCTGGCATTTTGTAGTGCATTGTATAAGATTCAGTTTAAATTAATTCTAATTCAGTTCAATACTTAAATAATTTATTAGTGCAGTGAAAAAACCTCAAGGACAGAGATAGATATACTCAATACATACAATATTATAAGTTTATCTGATAATGGCACAATGACGCGGTCTTATCGCTAGAAAATGACCTTTTCTAGACGACCCAGGGAGAGAACAGTTGTTTATTTATTAATTACATGAAACATTGTTTAAAGGTTGTTTGAGACAAACATTTATGTTGTTTTTAAATCTTACAGGAGAACGACTAGGCCTGATGCAGTCCTTGGCTGGTCTCGCGGCAGTTCTCTCAAAGTTCGACGTGACTCCCGCTCCTGAGAGCAAACGGGTTCTGGACGTGAAACCCCAGTATGACATCGTCCAGAACATTGCGGGGGGAATACCGCTGTTGTTTAAAGAAAGAAAGAAAGTTGATTAAGGTTACAACCGTTTTATTATTCGCATAACCTAAACCCAAGTATTATAATGGGCATTATAGACTAGCCAAACGGCTAGTGCCAAAACGGCACTCAGATTACTGATGAGAGGTCCCATAATTCGAGCCTCGACTAGTAGATTAATTGTGTTGAACCCATTCGTAATCCGCCTGTGTTTCGTATGTATTCATCATCATCATCATAGTTTTAACCTATGGAAATATAAAGAGTAAGAGTATAACAAGGTATGATATACCGCTTTTTTCTTCCATGATACTGTCCCCAGAGTAGGTATTAGGTAGTATGTCCACCTAGACCCTTTCGATTCGAGATCTCGTTTATCCCACTTTTTACCTACTCAGTAACAGCTGTCTTACACTTAACGATGGTAGCTTTTTGTCACGAAATTTCAGTTTTATGTTGTTTCTTTTGATAAACAGTAGGCACAAGATTTAAATACCTCCTTAAATTCCCGGTACACTTTTATAAGACTTAAGATTAGACCCTTAGTACTACAAATCTTGTCTAAATTACGTGATAATCACCGCTCTATCTCTACAGTCTGGAGGAGACAAAAAACTTGACAAATTGCTTTGTAAATTTGTCACTCCTCCGTAGTGCCTCCTGACAAATTGTTAAATCCCTTTTAGCTGCATGCCTTATTTTTAACGCGTCTAAAGAGGAAAAATTCTGCTGACAAATATATTAATCAAGCACATAATTATTATGATTAATATTGAGGTTGCTAATTTTGTAAGTAGCACTATTGATTAAAAAATGTTTTAAGCTGGCGATTTACTTATAGCATTGGCATAATAATTTAGGATTTGTTTTATAAATTGCATTTTTATGCAAAAACATAATAGGTATATACAGGGTGGAATTTTGTAATGCCACCTGGAGGCAAAGTACTCTTAATATTGTAGACAGAAAATTTTACTGAAAGAAAACATTCCTTTATTTTTGAAAAGAAAGAGAACTGCATTCAAAGATTTTCGAAAATTTTTCGAAAATTACCTATCATACCATACCATTTCTTGTACATAATTAAAATAATTTAAGATTTCATGGTTTTCCTTTCATTTAATTTATCAAGTTTGTTAGAGAGATTTCATCCTTATACTTAACCCTAACGATCGATGCAATAAAAATACAGGGTGTAATTTTTACCAGATTTTAGTTGGTTCGAATTCCGGGTGTGGCAAGTAAATTTTTGGAAATCTTTGAATGCTGTTCTATTTCTTTTCAAAAATAAAGGAATGTTTTCTTTGAGAAAAAATGTCTATCTACAATATTAAGAGTACTTTCCCTCCAGGTGGCATTACAAAATTCCACCCTGTATATGAAAATTGATCTAATTTTAATGCAATTAAGACAATTTGTAATAAAGTAATCTTTGAGTTTTTTGTTCAATTCTGCTGATTGTCTTTCATTATTTCATTCTCATTCGATGAAAAAAGATCGTATTAGGGCATTTCTACGGGGACGACCGATCGACCTACTGGGGCGAAAAAAGTACCTTTAAAATTGAAGTACGGACTTGAAACAAATCACACGTATTTATGGGACTCTTGACTTGATGGAGAGCATATTTAGAAGACCGCCAGGTTTTACATCTCGTCTTGAAAAAATCCGAAAGTTCAAAAACGGGCGAAATTTGGCCTAAAATGGAGTGTCCGGTTTCCAGAATTTACTCGTTTTTGCTTCATAACTTTTGAAATAATAACTTCCCCATTATGAAACCCACATTCACAGAACAAGGGATAGTTAATAAAGCTATATAAATGAGTTTCTTTATTGCAAGTCCTTGGGTTTTAATACAGTAACACATTTAAATTTTGTCCGACGTGTGTGCCTCAATTCCGTGATTTTTACTTTTGTGCTCCTATATCACGAACAACGCACAATTCGAACACCCACGCCTGATTCCCATAAACTAGCAGTTGCACTCGAGTGGTCGAGCAGTATAAAAGAGGGAAAATGAACCATCTAACTAATAGACCAGCAAGCAGATATCAAAACGTTTTAAGTATTTATTATATTAATTATTGAAATACATTAGGTATTTCTTCATAATGTCATCAATTCTAAGTTTGCGGAGCGATTTTTATATTTGGAGATTCATTTCTCAATTCCGTGATTCATTTTCTCAATTCGGTGCTCTCTCAATTCGATGCTTAACATTTCTCATAAACCACTTCACAATATTTAGTGACAATGCTATTTTTACATTCAGAATGGAGTAACATTTATTTTTTTGTATTGAAACTACTTAAAAAACTAAATATAAATTTTAGCACCGAATTGAGAAAAAATACACCGTACAGTAGAAATGCCCATTAACAGAATGTCATTTGTAAGGCCTTAAATACTTAGGTAATCCATCGTCAAAGCTTGCGCGTTACGTGGATGCATTTTTCATGCTATCGGGATAGACGGGTGACGTCATCGTGGTAGCTATTTGTTCACGTCTCCGTGACAATCAGGGTGCGGGCAGGAAAATGGGGAAAAATTTGGTTTTTCTCTCGGTTTTCGCGGTCTTCATTTAGCCATAACGGAACTGGTTGGATGTAATTTTTGATTATCATTTTTTTTTAATTATAGCGTAGTAATGCCAGTCTTAAAGTTAAATATATTTGTGTAATGAAAGTAGCGCAATTAATAATATGTATTTGATGAATAATACGTAGATATATTTTCTCGTTTCCCTTGAGTTTCAGCAAAGATTTGGAGACATTTTAACCGGTCCTAGCGCGGAATTTTTGAAGGATTTGAAAGTGATGATGATGCACAGTTGCACTCATTCACGTCAACAAACACATAGTGGCTAGTAACCCCTATTATTACAAATTAATTGGTTATTATTAATTGGGGGATTATTCCCCCATAAATACAAGTAAATATTTCGTTAAATACTAGAAAATACGCAGCGTGAGACGTCCACCCACAAGATGGACCGACGACCTGATAAAGGTAGCAGGAAGGCGCTGGATGCAGGCCGCTACCAACCGTGCGATGTGGAAGTCATTGGGGGAGGCCTATGTTCAGCAGTGGATGTCCTGTGGCTGAGATGATGATGATGATGATGACTAGAAAATGGGCTGCTAACCATGGCACGTCACTTTACTTTTCCGCCAAAAACCTGCCAGTCGAACGACGTCCACTGCTGGACAAAGGCCTCCCCCAAGGATTTCCACAAAGACCGGTCCTGCGTTACCCGCATCCAGGCACTTTTCTGCCCCAGCGGCCATCAGCTCTGCGAGTTATGTGCCCCGCCCACTGCCACTTGATTTTAGCGATTCTGAGGGCTATGTCAGTCACTTTGATATGCCCAAGAACCTTTTTTACTAAATTAAATAGTACATAATTGATCCTAAGCTCGGCACTCACTTAAGCAACATCTGTTTACGTGTAAAACGGCCTTAATGGTAAACAAATAACGTACGACGTTGTTTGTCCCTCCGTGTGTACTTAGGCTCTGTACACAACAACTCCCGGTACATTGTTGTACTTGCAAAACATTTTAAGTTTAAAATAATGTAATTTTAAGAGCTGCTCATGTAATGCGTGGTGATCAAATGTTATTCTATTTGGTTTAATCTAAGTTAAGTTTATACTCTATGTTTTTTTATTCTATTGTTCAAATGGTAAAATTTATAGGATTCACAATTTCTGAGAATTAGTTTTTCATGTGTCTTGTTAAATTTTTATTTCGACTCCGAAAATTCACTATCAATTGGTACATACAAAATTCAATAGTTTTCCGTTAGGTATTTCCATTTTTACAGCTTTCACTTTAAAGTTAAATATTCCATGTCGTTCTATTAAAAATCCTATAAACATAAAACACATCACAAACGTACATTAGACGAATTTTGCAAAAATGTACTGTAACTTAGGTTGCTGCAATAAATAAATAAAAATAACTTAACAGTTTGATTGTTAAAGTAAAAATATTAAAACCAAACAGTCAATTAAATTCTTCGGTTTATTGTAAATAGATATTCTAAATAATAAAAATTACGCTGTTGGCATTTTACTAGACCTAAGTAAGGCATACGACCGGGTGCTACCAAATATCTTACTAAAAAAATTATATGGGATCGGTATTCGTGGCATGGCACATAAGTGGTTAACCTCCTACTTCGAAAATCGCGTTCAATATGTAGAAATACAAAACGCATGTTTAGAAAATAGTCAAATAACTAGCGTTAGGTCACAAAAGGCAGTATTATCAAAATCTATACGGAAATCCCAAGGAAGTGTCATAGGATGCTTTCTATTTCTCATTTACATAAACGACTTGCCAAAAATAATCAAAGAGACCAGTATTTTGTTTGCGGATGACATGTCAGTTATACTTCCTACCATAGATGAAGAACAACTAAAAGATAAGTTAAATAAAACTACCCATGAAATTGTATCTTGGTTGGGTGATCATAATCTAGTCATAAATTACAACAAAACAAAACTAATGATTTTTAGACCCTATCAAAAAAGACCACTAAACATCAATTACACAGTTGATAATATAGAGCTCGAATGTGTCAATTCATTTTCATTACTAGGTATAAAAATAGATTGCAATTTAAATTGGAAAAGCCATATTGAAACCGTATCAGGTAAGCTATCGCGATTTATCTATGCATTGAACGAACTAAAAAGGTCCACAGACACGAATACCGCCAAAATTGCGTATCATGCTTACGCGCACTCGCAGCTGCGCTACGGTATTGCTTTGTGGGGCAACAGCACAGATGCGCCAAAACTTTTGGTTCTACAAAAAAAATGTATAAGGATACTTGCTAATATAGGGCCTATGGAAAGCTGTAAACCATATTTTACACAATATAAAATATTAACTGTCCCATCTCTGTATATATTGGAAATATGCAAAATAGTTAGGCAAAATGGGGAAATATTTGATAAGACAGACGAAAAGTACACTGGGACTATGACACTGAGAAAGAGAAACAAGCTTGTGTTGCCAGATAGTAAATTAGAATTACATGGATCGGGACCATACTCCATGGCAATAAGGCTTTATAATACCCTTCCTAAATATTTAAGACAGATAGATAATAATAATTATGATAAATTTGTGGCGTCCTTAAATGTTTTTCTATGTGATAAGTGTTTTTACAAAATTGATGAATATTATACTAGGCTGCAATAAATTTAAAATTGAATAAATATATTATTATTATTATTAAATGAAATATAATTAAATAACATAATTAATAATTGTTAC